AGTCTGTTACAGAAAACGGATATACAGATTTTCAATAAGTAATTCATATTTTGTGTACTAACGGAATTTTTTAGTCAAGACACGTTATTTATTAATAGACTTACTTTACAACACTTGGAAATTTTCAAATGCTTTGAAAGAATTGAGGAAACAATCATGCCTAACTCAATGAGTGATCCAGTGTCTAGCTTATTCAGTAAGCAGACAATTTTACTTCATTTCCAGAAATAATAAATCACTGTGTGACAACTCAAGGTAAAGCAGAATTAAGAAAGTGGATGCACTTTCCTCTGTGGAACAACAGATCAATTAAACAAAGATTGGATGCAGTGGAATTTCTTCTAGAGTACAAAGGTGGAGAAGTACTAACTATAATTAGATCTATTCTGAAAAAGATTGGAAATATGCAGGTATTTGTGACAGTCTTTCTATTTTACAGACGTTCGATACGTTTACTTACAAATTTGTTAACCATTTTGTTTGCCTTTCATTCAAACGATTCTAAAATATGCAACTAATATCCGACTTTCCATCAAACAGGTACGTGAAGTGAGAGCAAACTGCAATACTACTGTATGTTCCACTGAACGATTTCCTAGTAAAAGCATTGCGTACCAAATAAGGATATATTATTTTCCATTATACGGCCGCCAATAGCCGGATTCATCAGTTTATCTTTCAAAAATACCTCAATATACAGTGAAAGAGTAGTGCGAGATCATACTGTATAAGAAGCACTGCGCCCATCTAACGACCTATCAGTCTGTGCAGTCTAGAGAATGGCTGTTTGTAGATCAGTTACTGAGAGAGCCGTTAAGTAATAATTGATAGCTGAGTGTTTTAATGAGTCATTTAAGAAGGCATTTGGGTAACCTCTGGAGAAGCTTTACAGCTGATGTCGGTTTACGCTCACAACAACAAATACAGCCTGCCCTGAAGAAAGATTCACTCAGTTGTCGGTAGGCAGAAATCATTATTCCAGGAATTTATGTAGGTAGAAAAGTGCTGTGTAGCTCAGAGTCCCTATCATAAAAATGCATTATACGCATCATGCAAAATTACACATTATTCATACTAACGTAACTTTTAACACAAATTTGGAATGTAAGAGGCTACTTAGAGGCAAAACCGTTTCAAAATCACTTCGATGTGAAAGTTTAATGTACAAACGAAACATTAAAGTCAAATGGGTATAGTTGAAGTGTTTCTTTAGTAATATGCCTTCAGAATGAGTCGGTTACAAACTACCGAGGTTCTCTGAAAAGTTTCAAAACATACTTGTCACAACTGTCTTTTTTGATGTCCTCTATGTTGAATTTCTTAATATATATGAATATTTCTCTTTTAAATTCATACCAATATGATTTTGCTTGACCGAATAGGATAAGGTTTACAGAGCGAATTGTTGTATGCTTTTTGTTACAAGCACGCAAACTATAGTAACACTCAGTCCATTCTGTCAGTGATTGAAATAAGGAAACATTCACCTATGAGTTTAGTTGTCATCAAAAGATAGCTTTCAGGGAAGTAATAGCTTTATTTCATTTTCTGGATTCCGCTTGAATAACACAAGACGTGCTGATTAGTTTCGTTTGCTAGGCTACATTGTATCGGCACCTATCACAACAAAGAAATCAAGCAACATCCTCTAAAGTCCTTTTTACAATTAAATACGTTCGGAGTAAACACAAAATGTAATTTAACCTGAACAAGGCGCCCAAAACTAAGAGACGGCTTTTCACTGAACCTAACAGAAGCACCCACCGAAAAACTGAAAACAACACACGATGAAAATATATATTGAATTTATCGAACAATTTCTTTGTTATTTACAGGCGGTTACTCATGTAATTAGTTTCCAATTGCAGTTAGTTGAAAGTCTGCTAGTAAAAAGTCGCACAACCAAACAGACACTGTAGATCAAAAGCGTTGATTTTTAAGAAACTGTTTACAACAGTTAGCCAATAGATCTAATGTATTTATACGACTCGAAATACGAAAGTTTCCAATACGAATAGATAATGCATGCTGATGTTCTTGAATTTCTATAATATTTTGATCATAAGACGGGCAGATTTCCAACTTTTTCGACAATACTTACATTTTGTCACATTTTACTTATACGACATTAGGGCGATGTTGAGTGGAATTAAGTGTAGACTGACATAGACCTCAAGTCAGTATCATTTGAATGACTAAATCCACTGAGCTTAAATATTTTGCGACTGACCACAACTTCATTTCATCACTATGATTATCAAGGGGACATATCAGTAGTTCATAGACTACTGGCTTGAACCCTGCTGAAATTCAGCCTATTGTTTCAGATTTAATAACCATCACATCAAGCCAGTTTACTGAAGTGGTCCTATTTTGTAGAGCGTGACCGAAAACATTCACATTTCAACATTATATGTGATTCAGAAATGAAATCGTTACTATCCGATTAAGCAGTCTATGCCGAACACATACAACAAATCGCATTTTAGGCAGAAAACATGTTACTCAATTTCACTCAGTAATGTTAGCAAAATAATTCTTGAGGGCGTAAGTGTTTACAATAACATTCAATATTATAATGAAAAGCGGTTTTCTGAAGTAGTATTCCATTACACTTTGACACTTTTCAGAAAATTATTCTCAGAATTCAGGCGTTATCGGATTTATCAAGTGACTGGAAATTAATAATACAAGTAAAGTCATTTATCCCACCAAACAGTTTGATATAAAAGACGTTAGATTCACTCAAAAAGCTTATTGACTTTTGTGGAATGTATCAAGAAAAGCTGTATCCAGTCCGAGAATTACTGAGAGAGAATTTCGATAAAAGGTTGCTGCAGAACTTGAGGTCTTGGATAATTCATGTAGTCGAAGTAGAAAGAACTAGAAGACAACAAAAATTTGCTATTCGGAGCGGAGTGGATCCTACTTTAGATCAGTGTAAGTATAATATTTTTATCAAATGTTTGCGTTTCAACAGTAATACTACAAAAGTTGAAGGCACTTAATAATAGTAGTAGAACTACGGAAGACTCCTACAGATTAAACTAATAGTTTGGGCTTTAGTTTACAGTTTCACAACTCATTAATATAGCTTATGCAGTTTGTGCTTACCTTTTCACACAATGTAACAAAACTGTGGCCAGTAAACACTATACATCAGCACTAATGATGTCAATAAGATGAAATTCTCTGAAGATCATATTCTAAACTAGCTGTAAACACAGCACTTCTTTCCCAGTTAAGCAGTCGTTAAAAATGTACACTTATTACTTCTGTATTGGGTCACGCCATCGAGGCAAATGGAATGCACACCAAGGATGTTCAAAGCCTTACTTACATGACACATAGGCATGTGAACTTCACCACATATAAGCCTAGTCCTTATTGAGAATATTTTCAGTAAGTCAAAAAGACAAAAATGAATCTAACCAGCCGAGAGATCGAACTGGGAATCAAATATTTTTTAAACTATCTGACATCACTGTGAATATGTTCATTTTGTCGACAGTTCAGTTACAATTTAACCTCTTATACTGCAGAAACACAACATAAACCAACAGTATTAGATTAACAATAATAGTGATTATGCCTTTTATTTCATCTACAGGGAATGAAACATACACATGTCTGCCAGATTTGTTATCACATCTGGCCGAAGGTCAAATAACGGAACTTCGTGCAAATATACGAACATGTGGGCTAGTTTACTTCCCCACGGTACGTTTCTCTGGAGTGTGAAAACTCAAATACCTACTTATTATGAACTTGCATAATTTTGTTTTCTACAGGTCGGTTATTTGTTGAAAATTCCGAAAGTCGAAGTGGAAACACCTGACATACATATAAGCTGTTTGGAATTCGCAGTAAGTTATTGACTACTATGCACACTGATGTTTTTTCTCATTCAGTGCATTATCATTATAACTATGAGTGATTTCATTAAAATTCTAGTCCAGTTTATAGTCCCTCACTTTACTGTTACTAACATACAAGACGAAAAACTTTCTTTTGATTAATATGTTGGGTTGTGTCGGTAGTTCGTCTAGTCAAGTGCTGTCATGATACCTCCCGACTTAGGGATTCGAACGACGCCATAGGAGTATGAAACCATGCTGCTTGGATGCAAGTATATATATATGATGGTGCCACGTGTCAGGTGATTCACAAAAAAACTCAGCGAAGCCTTTGGAGTGAAGATAGGAGTAAAACAAGGCTACCTACTGTCGCAAATGAAATTTCTGACCGTTGTGGGTTGGACCATACGATAGACTATGGAGAGTGAGAAGATAGGAATACGCTGGACCAACAAAAGTACTCTAGATCTGTATTTCGAGGACAATTTATGTCGCACGACACATAACATCGAAGACCTACAGGTGAAAACGAAGTTGGCGAAAGATGCTGGTAGCGGAGACAGGACTTCAAGTGAATACAGAGAAGATGGAAGTGATGAAGATACCCTGCTGACGAACAACAACAATCACCATAGGCAAGAGAAATTCTAGGCAGCTTCAACTACAAGTAGTGTCATGGATGATGATGTGAAAGTCAGACAAAATTGGACAAACAAGGCAAACAGTCACCACTTTGGATATCTTCTGCAGTCAGCATAAGGAACATAATTCGGATTTTCAGCACCAATGTTAAGTCAGTTCTTCTATATGATGCAGCGACTTGCAGCACAACGAGAAGCACTTCCTACAGGCTACTGCTGTCTTCGCTTCATAAGCTACGGGCAACTCTGGGAACGAACCGACCAGGTACTTATTATATAACAAATACACCAAAGGTAATGCAATGGACACATACTACGAAGACCGTTGAGTGACAGCGTGCGCCAGTTCCTCGGATGGAACTGAACGGTGGACACCTCATGGTGACATGAAGAAGATCGTGTGAGAAGACAGGGACTTGTAGGCAATCATGTAGCCAGTTAAAGCGGACTGTAAAGAGTAGGATGAAACGGAGATATTCTACTTGAAACCCTGGGAATAATAATATCCTAATTGCCCTATACTTCTGTCTATTCTAGTTCTTTCGAACTTATGATTTTTCTTCACCTTTTCGTGCAAAACGACGTGTAGCGACTTGGCCTTCAGCATGTCTTTGTCAAGTTCTACCTTCAAAATCAGACAGTCAGAGACGGCACTGGTTGTCAATTTCTGAACAACTGCATATTGTCAGTTTATTTGACATGTCAGTGTTATTAGCTGTATGCCGTTTGGAGCAGTTACTCGGGGTCGGTAATGTTACCGGAGAATAAGAATTTACCTAGATCTAAAATAATTGACCCCGATAAGTTCGGCCGTTGAAATGCATTCGCTTCATGTAATCACAAAATAGGGTAGGCTAGGGTATTAGCATTGAAACGTAATATTATATTACTACAAACAGAGGTAAATCACCGAATCTTTGGAATCAAACTAACATAATACCTGTCCCAACGATGTAGAAAAGCTATATGAAACAAGTAAGGCAGTCATGTGAATACATTGGCATGATTATGAGTAACAACCTGTGCTTGAAACGCTATCCAGTTACTGACCCTGTATCGCTGTATTATATCGAATAAACTTAACTCAAATGGAATTACCAATCCTCTATCCTATGGTAGCGTGTTTATTCCGAAAATATCAAAACCAAACGGAACAGTAAAAACATGTGTTTAGTGTCCAACGCCGACAAGTATGCCGTATTCTGAACCTGTCGAAGGGTGAATTTTTTATCAAAGCAGACCCATCCATACTTTACTTTCTCATATTCGTTGTTTTCCTGCATCACATCCATCAGAACTATAGAGTCTGTGGTTCTAGAAGACATATCGATCCAGCTGATGCCTACTGTAGTAATTACACAAAGATTTGTTCCCCTACTAACTGGTTGAACTGAGACTATTCCATAAAACTCACTAGGAAGTTCAAAAAACAACACACCAACATGAAACATAGTAGTGAAATCACTAACCATATCATAAATAAGGGATATAAGGATTTCTAATAAAGCAAGGATTAGGACGGCATTCAAACCTGTAAACTCACACACGGACAAGCTCCTTGGGCTAAAGGACCCTACTGAACCAGACAGACTGTAAGATCAGCTGCACAGATCAGAATCAGTCAGATTATCGAAATATACGAATTTAATGAAGTGTAGAATGATTGACCGTCTAAGTGAGAAACTGACACTGCGATGCATGCACTAACACACAATCGGGTGGGACAGACCTACAGTTCTGACAACTAATATAATTAGCCGGAAGGAGAAGTTGGTCGTTGAAACCTTCATCGAATCCACACACATTAACACATGCAATAGGAATGAAGCAACGCCGGCACTAGAGATATAGAAAACATCACTACCAATAAAATCAAACGATAGGGAATAATGAAGTGTACACAGATTGAGACTTATGTGAGCACCTTTATATTATTATGAGCAAAACTGTATTCGAAACGTCATCAGTAAACACAAAAGTCTACATCACTGTTTTTACTGAATAAATCACTATACGCAGGAATTGCACTTCACCACAGCACCTAAACTTTATTCTTTTATCAAACAGCCTGAATTGAGTTCTTCAGTTTCCCCAACATCAAAAAGGACTTCAGGTAGCTAATACTAAAACACTTGCTGTTGCCGCGCTCTAACTGCAATTTTCAAGCCTAAGCTATTATCCTTTATCAGGAATGTTTATAATTCGGTATGCACTGAATGCCCCAGTTATTTCAGTTTGTTTTGATTCATTAAATCACCAACGCTTATATCTAAAGATCAAGGAATGGAGCTACGCCTATTGTAAGCTCGTCGTCAAGTACTGAAATCCACATGGTGTGATTCAATTAAAATACACACGTGTTTTGCGTCGAACGATGTGACCGTGATTTATTCATGTTGAACACCAACATATGCTGAACGAAGAACAGTAATTAGTTCGTTCCTCATCACTAAATGTCAGTAGTCACCTTAGCCTTCACCCCTGTCTACTATGCAAAGCGACTCTCTGCATTAACATCCGTGAGCACAACCACATAGAAACATTCACAATAGCTATCAAGCAGTACACGCTGACTTACTTGACTTGATTACGAAATAACAGAACTTTTCAGCATTACATTTTGTGAGTAGTGGCTCAAAAATCCCCATTAAGTCACATAAAAGAAGAGGCGTTCAGCGAAGAGTTACTCTATTCAACGATATCACTCTCAAGCTGTACAATCGCATATATACAGAGTACACTATCATAGCAACAAAAGGAATCTCTTCAACAATGTATCACTAAAATCGTAAGTTGTTGACAACGGTTACGCTATGCAGAAAGCGATCGGCTGCAAATTGAAATTAAATTAAATAAGTGAATTGAATGACGCAACATATGTGAAAGGATTGAGTATAGGTCAACTAAAATTGCAAGGTGGTCAAGTTAAGAACAGTGTCATCAGCAGTGGAGTTGTGTTAGCATGAAGGGTTAGAAGTGATAAAATAAGATTAGAATTTACGAAGCTTACGTGTTAAGTGTTGACATAAATTAAGCTCATTGTAGGTTCGGTGACTGGGAAAACTCCTCCAGCAAACATAGTTCACGATTTAACATTTGGACTGCACACATAGGTTTCTTCGGTCACTGGACCCACAATGGGCTTGACTTGTCACAACACTTGGTACGTGAGTTTCATCCTTCCCACAACTACAATTCTACTCCTCACTACACTGATCTTAACTTGACCCTCTTTCAAATTTTGTTGAGCTTTCTCTACGGACCATGATTTACAAATTAGAATGAGATACTCAAGATGTGTGACTAAGTGAAACTTACTTTAAGCACTTTAATCCCCGTGGGGGCTGGCTTTCAGGTCACTTAAAACCACATAAGTTATAAGCAAACCGATGGGAATTTCGTAATACGTGTGTGTGTGACGACAACTAAGCTTGTCGCTTCTCACTGATGGAGGACACTTCAAGCAATTTTAGTGAAGCTCAAAGGATGTTGTTATGGTGGTGAAGATGTCTGTATTATTTATTTTTCACAAGATCCTTCCTAATGACACTTCATCTACTCACGCCTTATTCACTAATATACTCAACTGTTTGATCAGTTTTACAACCTTTGACGGCATTTTTACCATTCTATCGTTGCTACTAAGATTTTAAAAAATAACTATATAATCCGTGTGAAAATCCATACTGCTTTAATTAACCAATTCTTCTGTGTAAGCCAAAAATATTGCTAATTTGAGTCATACATCATCAGTTGTTAGGAACAGCAAATAAAGTTGGCACTGAAATGCGAACAATTTACACTGCAGTAATATCGTATTTCCAACACTTATAGCATGATGATAACCATGCAAACCAGATGAAAATGTATAACAGTGCAACTAAACAAAGCGAGATATGGATGTGAACGTGATTTGCTGGCTCAGGTACTTGACTATCATACGACCCCCTGGTTTACATTTTATTTTCTCTCTGAACTCCACATCAAGTGCGGTTAGAAGTATGGTGTTACAAGACTCCACTACAGCAATAAAACTCCACCTTCTCTATATATGTACCAGGAAATAGGACACTACTAGTTGTAAGTAGTCCGCTAAAATTTCCTGAGTGCAGAGGTGTAAATAAGTGAATTTTCCAATCCACAATCTATTTTTCGATACTGCAGTGACTACGTCATTAAACCACATTCGCAACGGATATAAAAAGACTGGCAACATGTAACACAATGCGGTACACAAAAATGTTAAGGGCCTACGACACCTGGTCACCTTTACCACTTTGAGCCGTTTCCTCAGCCACCTGAAAAATAAGTTTACGAGGCGATTAATTACAAAATCATACTTGATAATTAATAAAAAATTAGTTTAACACTGTATTACATCTATATCTACTTTAACCAAATATATTTGGTTTTCGTTTCACACATGAAAATTTTAGATACGGAGACCACAATTATGCGGCACCTGCAGCGTCGCTTACTAATTCACGCACAAAGCTTACTTCGCGCATCACAATTTTCTGCAGAAATAGATTGGTAAGTTCAATTTTTCTACCTTTTATCCACTCTGGCAGCTTTTCGGGATCAAATGATGCCAAGCAGATTCATAAAGTAGTTATTTCACAGAGTATGTCAGACTAACCATAACACACTCAAATGGACATGTGGCTATGCTTAAAAAGCCATGACGGGTCATCATTAATAAACAAGATGTTCTATAATTTCAGTAAGTTAAAGTGAGGCAGACACGGAATGCTAAAGTAGTGGGTGCAACTAGCCTCAACTATTCATAATCCCGAATTAAGATGAACATTTGCAAATCGTAAGGTATTTCGCTGGTAGCCTGACAGAACAATTTATTCAACATAATCACAAAAGTCTCCCAATTACAAGACACACAAACCATCGTTTACGTATGCAAAAGACTGTGACAGTGAAACTCCATAAGTCACTTTACTTAAGTCATTGACCAATAGAAAATACTGTATCATAGCCACTACTTTCCTGAGTCGGGCTACATTTCAGCAGTTGACACATAATGAGTGACCGACAGCACTCATTGTGTAGCTCAAGATTCATGTGACTAGAATGATTAATCAACAATCTGGAGGCGCTTGAGGTGGGTACAGAAACGCACCACATCCAACAGCCAAAATGAGAAGTGAACCAACTTAGAATCCTTCTTGCGTCACCAACCTAGCGACCATGAATATGGTAGCCAGCTGTTAGTTCTCCTTTTTTTCCAACACATAAATGAAGATCAATCGTATATAGGGTAGATTTAATAAGCGTGAATATGTTTTGTACTACAGTCGCAAAAAATGAGCAATACAAATACCGAAATTGTACCTATTTGTTTCAGTCTATGCTCACTTGCGATAGCTGCTAAGTCTAAGGACTGGAAAAAACCGAAGTTAGCAGAAGACGACTTAATACACATCCGTTCTGGGCGTCACCCAATACAAGAAACGCGATGCAAAAACATTATCAAGAATTCATTCTATGCAGATGCTTCGAAGCACAGAATCACTTTCCTTACTGGACCAAATGGTAGTGGAAAAAGCACATACATGAAACAGGTACGACTAACTTTATGCACTAATCAAACAGACTAAGAAAGTAATCAATGTAATCCTATTTATCAGTGTAATGCTTCTCACACAAGTGGTTAACACCACAGGTGGTATTAGCTTATCAGATAGACAAGAACATTTACGATGTTATCAATGAAGACGACTACTTTGTTCAGAACTCATCACTTCGAAGAAAATACTTAGTCACTTTCACTTGGAGAGAACAGCGATACAGAATACAGAGACTCACGTAAGACTCCCCGTAGTGTAGTTAACAAAGCAGCCTCATCACATCAAAGTGGTTTTAGCGACCATATCAATTCCCAGATGGGAAGAACAATCTTCACCTTAATACACACGTCAAAGCAGTAATTACAGTCTTTTTCATGACAACTGTATCTGTAGAAAATGAAAACAAGAGATCCTGAGCGGAACCTCTCCAACGAATTCGCTACAATTTGACCGTACAATCTCATATATATATATATATATATATATATATTAGATTACCGACTTCAATATTCGTGTTACAGTCCTAAACCTAATTTGACTATTTGGACTTACTTACTTAAACTAGGCCATGTACATCGAATAGGATTGTATTAACAATAACAAATTTATGCCCTAATAACTGTTTACGAAACATTTCTGCACGCTACAGTTTATTACTTCGTTCTCTTGTAGATCGCCTTAATAATATACCTCACACAAATAGGAAGTTATGTACCAGCTGAGGAGGCAGTTATTTCACCACTTGACGCAATATACATACTCACAGGTACAGGCTCCGAGAAGGAAGATGATTGCTCAACATACATATCAGCTCTTCACTCAGTGTCCGTTGCTTTACGAACACCAACAAAGAGAACACTCCTGGTGATGGATGAGTTTGCTAGTGTAGTTGACAAGGTATTTTGTGTAATTAGTATCTTGCTTAATTATTTTTAAACCATGTTTTAGTTGGAACTTAATGCACTTACAACAGCCATAGTTGAATTCCTCCTAAACCTTGGAGAATGTCCGTTCGCTGTCATAGCCACCCGCAACTATGGAATTTTGAAACACTTTCAAGTGTCTGGACCACGAGTACAATACTTGGTAAGTCGCTACCACTAAATAAAAGTGACTTCTCACCACATTAAGACAATGAAGACGACAACTCATGAGGGGAAATTGCTATGTCTGTACGAAGTTACTAACGGCATAACCTCAGAAAGTGAAACAATTACAATAGCCAAGAATATTGGACTTCCACAAGGAGTAATAGAAAGAGCACTGGAACTGAGGAATTCCCCAGCTGTAATGAATGTCAAATTTGTGGAAGCCAGAATTAAAAAGTTTTCACAATTGAGCTTAATTTTTCAGAGTGAAAAAAGCGATGAAGATACTGCGAATAAATATTGCCAATAATAGTACCACGCCACTGGGAAATATGCAAAATTTATTTTGCCGTCATCGTCGAAGGCTGAAACTAAGGAATGATGGTCGGTCATCTCACTAATGATGATTAATAACAGCACGGTCTTTTTGGCTTATAACCCGATTACTTTATTCAGTGTTTGTTTACAGAAAAGTTTTCGAAAACTCGAATGGGTTATTGCAATTAGTTATACTGACAACACCTCATCATAAAAAATAAGTCTCAAAATAGTAATTATAATAATAATAATAATGATCAGGGGTCATATTGTACAGGGGTGATAAGTTATTTCAAGTGTGAAATGAAAGAATAAAAGGATGTTCTAAGGCTTTGGAACAGGTAATTCGTTCAGTCGGAATGTACATAAGCATTTCTTTAACAAGATCAAAAGCTAGGCGTTTGTAACGATCGAAACTAGAAAACCAGTAATCTCCCAAAGGCTTTAATGCTCTCCTGACATAACGAGACTCAGATGAAGTAGGTGACCAATCTAACCGACCATGGCGGAAATATCTTCGTCGACGAGATGCTTTTGTCATACACTTAGGAAGCGTTCCTAGCACACGTTCCATCATAGCTAGGTGTTCCAGATTATCATGTGTCATAAAAAGGCACCGTCCCGTTACAAGTTCATATAGAATACATCCTACAGACCACACATCGGCCGACCGATTCCAGCCAAGCTCCATTACGACTTCAGGTGCACGATAATGTCGAGTTTGAATAGTGGTTGAGTGGTGATCATTGTCGAAGGTAGCTGACCCGAAATCTATAATTTTTATATATGGATGACGTATTCTCCGAACAGTTTTGCCACGATGATTATCAAATACTTCGTCGTAACTGCCATCAACAAACAAAATATTCTCAGGTTTGAGATCTGTATGTGTAAGCTTAATTCGATGCAAAAATGCAACAGCTTCACAAATTTGTCGGGTAATTATTGCACATTGTTCAATAGGATAGGGCTCATAACCATTTTCCTCAAGAAACGTGAAAACACTTGGACCAAGCAGAGGAAAAACAATATAAAAGTGATCATGCCACTCGAAGAAGTCTATTGATGATATGCAGTGAGATCGATTCTTTGCATCTAGTCTTGCAATGGATTCTAAGACTTCAAGCTCATGACGAGCAGCATCATTGTAACCACTCTGAGGTTTCAGAGCCTTTACAGCCGTCAATGAATTTGTGTATAAGTCAAAACATTCAAAAACTTGCCCGTAGCTACCCTCTCCTAGTATCTTCTCCACACGAAAACGTCGCTTGATAACCTCACCGACTGGTACAATAGTAGATGGCTTGCGTTTGTGTCGCTCATGGCTAACTTTTCTTCGTGCTTTCTCATCGCGACGCTTCTCTTCTCTCTTTCGACGAGCTACCTGCTTGTTATCTCTGTCAGGAAGCCTCGGAGAACCAGGAAATCGCCCATTACGTAACTGACCATGCCTTGAATGCCCGTCGATGCTTGAACTACGCTGACGTTCTCGCTTAATTGGGTGGTCAGGATGTTTGCCAGCGTGACTACGAGTGACACGACTGCGAGAGGAGCTGCTAGAATGGTCCCGAGGACGGCCCTCATCACCAGAGATACGTTTTGCCTTACAGGTACCCGTTGTGTGATTGCAATTAGGAAGTGATACATGGGAACTATGTTTCCGCCTGAACCAACGGGGATAAAAACAATCACAGACTCAGTGACATATAAAATAAATACGAAACAATCGAAAAGTCAAAAGTTTATATGTGTACCTTTTGCTACGAGCTGGGATGCGAGGTCTTTTAGGGTTGGAACATCCATAACCAGAAGAGGCCTTCTCAGATGTACTGGAACGCTTACGCTGACTGATTGATGAAGACGATGAAGAGAAGACTGAGTCAGTAGCATATCTGGTTTCCTTATTCCTGAACCGTGAGTTGAAACAACAACGATGATTGCTTTTGGATCGCCAATCACGACTCGCAGAGTCGCCCTCCCGTAAACCCATAATCAAAAAGAGCGCATTTCCACCTGGTACCAAAATGGGTACCGAAAACTGTTGTAAACAAACTGAAAAAAACAAATCAAAGTGAAATTAGGCATGACAATGGCGATAGAAATTAGTTTGCTTCATTGACTTGTGTTGATACTGACATAAGACTGTTAGATTGGTGACAGTGTCTGCATTATATTCATATATATATATATATATATATATATATATATATATATATATATATATGAATGTGTAGTTTTCAGATTCATATGTTAAGGATAGTATTTCTTCGTTGCCTGCGTTAATCCTCGCAATATATACGCCTAAGGAGATCTAATTTCTCACTGAAAGTGTTCATCAATGGAGCTGATACTAGTGAATCAGGTAAGGAGTTCCAGTCATTAACCACTGTGTAGGAGAATCTATATTCAACACGTATTTTATCCTTCCGAGGTTTAAGCGCCTTTTTGTGGTGACCACGTAAATGCATCCAAAAGAGAAAGAAAAGACTAGAAACGTCAATACCTAAATCACCCTCTAATATTAGGATATGCAAAAACTAAGTCACCTCTCCACCATATGTATACCGTTGGATAGTTTCTTTCCGTTTGTGTTAGGATATGGCATACACGACATATATTTCACGCCACATCAGTAATGCACCTGTTTAATAGTCAGCCAGGGCCTCAGATGCCGAGAACTGTCTTCCACGTAAGGGTGTCTTTAAGGGAATTTTCTCTAGAAGTCTGAAAGCTGTTTAGCAGGGTTGAAAATCTGTGAGTCCTGCATTCCAACAAACTTGAACACGCATAGTGGTCTGCTCACCACAACTGTAATCTTACTGAATTTTTCCACAAAACGACCTCAAAAGGCTCTCACCTCTAAGAAGTCCCACAGTTTTCTCTCAGAATTCCCGGCTGTAATGGTCTTTACTGTCAAAGTTTTTCCAGGTAAAGGTTTTGTTTCACCATTTCCCCTTTATGCACCAACATTCCTTTTAGATACCTGGGATTTCATCCTTGTTCCACAGCTGCACAAAACCTTTAACCAGAATAAATTTGACCTCGCCTCTTTAGGGAATTCTTGGAACAGAATCATTGCTAAAGCAATACCCCCACACCTTTAGAACTTCCCTATAACCTGACTGGTGAAAGTAAACCCAAAATCCTACCTGAATGCGTGAGGGGCTTCATATAAACTGAAGTTATTCAAAGGGCCATGTCTTCTTGCAAAGTTCTGACATTATCTCCCTGACTGCTTACAACACATCCGATTGAAATTACCATGAATTAAATTGTGTGGCATGTCCTATATTCATTGTTCTACGATACGTGTTAGTTAGGCTGCTTAAACAACTTCCAGTTCGCCTCCCGTTGGTTTCAACTAGATATAATGCTCGTGGATGTCCAGTGGTTGTAGATCCCTCTAGACCTGATCTTTGGTCACATTGCCTGCTGAATCTTTAGCCTGGCCTACCTAACCTGGTGGTCAGGATGTTCCTAACACGGCTCCAACCACTGAAGGCAGAACATAACCCTTACGGTTGTTCAAAGGCGTATTCATTAATATAAGAATCGGACTTGTGGACTGTGGTAGAGTATAATTCCATTATGGGTAAAATTTGTCTTGATAAAGTCTCACAGTATTATACAGTAAATATCAATGCATCACTGTAAATATTATCATATATCAGTAAATATTACTGCGTATTTATTAACACCTGTATCGAGAGTGTATAGAGATACGCAGTCATACCATAAGGCAGTTTCCAGGCTCTTGTCCCTAAGAAATTCAACTGCCCATCATGTGTTTCAGATAAACAAACTGACCTATGAGAGTGAGACGGCTTAGTTTCATTTGACTTGACTAACTTCTCTGATCCCCATATGCTTTCTAATGGCCAGGCCTTAGATAGCAGACAAATTCGCCTATCACGAGCTGTTCAAATTAACTGGCCCAAAATGTCGGAAAATGTCTATTATTATTTTCTAGAACTCCGATTGAAACTTGGGGCTTCAACAAGATATCTTCACTTTATTCTAATTTCTGTTGTCCTCTTTAACTGAACACACCATAGCCAGTAGCCCCTCATCACTTCCTGGCTCGATCTCCTTTATATCACCCTCTAACCCACACGCAACTCATCGTTTCCCATGGGGATACCACTCCAGGACCTGGTGAGCGATGTAATTTGGTGGTCTCCTCAACAAGTATCTGATACATCTCTGTTATCTCCCACATATTTGTTGAACGATAGGTTCTCAGCAAGTTTGATCTCATAATTTCTTGTTACTAATTCTTCCTGACCGTCTGATCTTGAAAACGGAACGAAGGCAGTCATTGATAAAAGTCAGAAATAGCCTGTTGGAAATGCTTTACGCGATTAGCCCGCCATTTTTCCGACTCTTATAGAAGAACTGACTCACCAGGCATTGAGGTTGAAAATCTGAATCTTGTTGTGTATGCTGAGTGACAGCAGAAGATTTCCAAACTGGTTTCAGATTGATGAGGGCTTGTCTTGCCTTTCCGACTCTGACTGGCTCTGACATCTTCCGTTCCGCTGGCTATGGTCGAGGCAGTGCTTCTTAGCAAGATAAGTGAAGGGGGTAACCCCTGTCAAATCTCTCCAGTTGATGGCGATTCGTGTTGGAATTTGTTGCTGTTTGTTGGCTATCTTCATCACCTCCGTCTCCACCTCCTGTATGTTCACGCCCTGTCTTCGCAGACAGTCTCTTTAGCCAGTTTGTCGCTCTTTTCCTACAAGTCTTCTTATCGTCCCCGAGTATTCCTGCCTTCTCTGTCCGCACAGTCTGACGCATAATCCAGCCAACTTCGAACAAGAATATAACCATGGGTAGTAGTTGTCAGCCGACCCTGTCCTACTTCTGTATTCATTTCATTGACTTCCCTGTGTTTTCCTTTGTGAATTACTTGGGACGTCGCATGTGTCTCTGGTTGGGTGAGGATGGTAAAGATTTGAGGCACTCCATAGTGTTGGAGCGGTTCCCAAATCACTTCTCAATCAACAATGTCTGTCGAAGGCCTCTTCAAAGCCGATGAAATCAAGGTGGAGGTTTGGTTGCTCTTTCATGCTTCGTTCGATTTGATCAGCACTACATGATTTGCCTTTCCTGAATCCAACTTGTTCCATGGTGATGGGATTTTGAATCTAGTCCACCTTTTGTTCCCTCTGGGATGACGCGAGTCAGTGTTTCACTTCGCGTGGACAAGAGCGATATACTACTCCAGTTCTTTCAGAGTGGGACGTAAGTCACTTGACGAGGTAGCCAGCCTTTACTAATATATGTGTAAAACTCGGGCAGTGTGGTAGTAACTAATTCCACATTATTTTGTTTATTAGATGTATCACAGTGAAACAGTATTATTTAATGTATGACGTTTCGAACAAAATTTATTGTGGTTCATAATCGTATCGATTATAATCACACGACTTTGAAACTTGAGATTTATAGTTTTCTTTGCTCTCTCCTATTTGTCGTAGCTGTAGTAGAATTTCCCTGATATCTGGGACAGGTTGAATCATTCCTATTACATGTATTTGCAATTGATTCGATAAACAAGGCTTCTGTTATCAACCTCTCTCTCCACCCTCTGACATTAGATTTTAAAACTTTCATCCTATCTCATCCTACTGTATGGTTGTGTGCAACTGCATGTATTGCTATGGGTGAACTATTCTCTAGATTTCTCATCTACCAACCAATCTAAATTTTGTTAGGTTTTTATGTTCGGCTAGTCTGACTGCCCCTGTTCTACTAGTTTGACCTATGTATTTGACCTGACTCATTCCAGCAGGGTTTTCGATAAACTAAATTGTTTTGTTTTAAAGGCTCCACAGGATCCTTTAACCGACAAGGCTTGTTTCTAATTGACTTTGTGGGTTTGAATGCTGAGATGATTTTCATATCTTGCTTCAGTTTGCGAAAGTCGAGTGAGTTTATTGGCACAGACGCGGTCGCGTAACGTCCCACTGCAAGTGCTCACAGGGAACAAGATCGAAACCTATGACTGCATGGTTACTACTTCCTAGAGGAGCCATGATCTGTACCTTTCAGACGAGTAGTTGGTCACTAGTTAGAATGTAGTCTAGTTTTGATGACTTTCCACTTGGGCCCCACCTAGTGTCGTCTCCAACGTTCTCAGTCAGTCCCGTGTTCCGATTAGCTTGCAGTAGATTTCGGCCGAATTCTCCCTTAGCATACCCCGAGCCAAGGTTCAGTGATGGGTCATTGAAATCTCCAGCAATGGTGATTTGGTCATAGCCCAAGTCTCGTATCCCTGTGATAGTGCTGAGCAGTAGCTGATTGTGCTCTGCCCCACAGGTGGGAGATCGGTAGATGCCACCCAGTAAATGCTTGGTGTGGTCTACGGTGAAATGACACCACATGGAGTCTGGGAGTTCAATAAGTGGTGGGGCCGTTCCGCGAACACATTTAAGTTGCCTGTCAAAGTATATAGCAACTCCCCCTCCTTCCTTATTATCCCTGTCTCTCCTGACCAAAGCCATATCACATATACTGATTTCATTATCGGTGATAGTGGGGGTTAGCCATGTTTCGGTGAGAATGATCATTTTCAGTTGTAGGTGTGCTTGGAGATTTCGGAGTTCACCTATTTTTCCTCTCAGCCTCCTCACATTGCTATATAGGCAGCTGACAGTGAGTCTTGTGGCTTATGTTAATCCTTGCACTGGGTGTCTTTGAAGAGATCTAATTCCTCTTTGAAGCTAGAGCTGATAATACTTTGTCAGGTGAAGAGTTCCAGTCGTGGACAATCCAATGTAATGATCTCAAGCTCTCATTTACTTTATTAGGCCACAGCACTCTTTTGTGATGTTTCCGTCAGGGCATCCTTGAGAGAAGTTTAGAAATGTCAGCCCTATATTATTCCCTAATGTGTGATATGCCAATATTAAGCCACCTCTCCTTCAGTATGATAATGAGTAAATTTATTTGGCAAAATCACACATTGGTAAGTGGTATTATTTACTGGTGGCATTTTGGTCACTATTTACTGCTCAGAACCATGTTAAGG